CCCATTAAGAAAGCACCAAGATAATTGTAATGGATATCAAAGAGAAGGCTGTGAACAAATGGGATTGCTGTTAACTATCTTGTTTTTGCACCATATGTAACAAAGCAATTTTTTATAAAATTTTAGTTTTAGCGAATTTCCCATGAATGGAATTACTGTATAGGGAAAGCTCTTGGGTCTAACGGTATTACTTGGACCCTTTACTTTTTTGTTTTGAGATCCCTAGAGGCCAAAAACGCCATCTGTTCAAATTCATATGTATAATGTACGGTAGCGCGATAACTCGAGAAAAAATCATCCGATTTTGATGAAATTTGGTAAAACGTGTATAACTAGGTTTATTCGAACGAGTTCGCAAACCAGCATGATCGGACTATGGAAACAGGGGTTTTTGGGGTAAAAATTGGTTTTTCCTAGGGATGGACGGGTCCCGAAATTTCGGGAATTTTTCGGGAAAAAAATATTCCCGATTATCGGGACGGGATTACATTTGATTCGGGAATTTTTCGGGACGGGATTTGGTCCGATCGCCGGCGATTTTGCCGCTTCGCGAGTGCCGATGACGCCGCTATTGCGAGCGATAGGTCCGCGAACGCAGGAGACGAAGTCGTTTCGACGATTGCGCCGTGACCGCGGAGTCATACCGACGATCGCGCCGTGACCGCGGAGCCATACCGACGATCACGCCGTGACCGCGGAGTCATACTGACGATCACGCCGTGACCACGGAGTCATACCGACGATCACGTCGTGACCACGGAGTCATACCGACGATCACCCCGTGACCGCGGAGTCATACCGACGATCGCGCCGTGACCGTGAGTCATACCGACGATCATACCGTGACCGCGAGTCATACCGACGATCACGCCGTGACCGTGAGTCATACCGACGATCACCCCGTGACCGCGAGTCATACCGACGATCGCGCCGTGACCGTGAGTCATACCGACGATCATGCCGTGACCGCGAGTCATACCGACGATCGCGCCGTGACCGTGAGTCATACCGACGATCATACCGTGACCGCGAGTCATACCGACGATCACGCCGTGACCGTGAGTCATACCGACGATCACCCCGTGACCGCGAGTCATACCGACGATCGCGCCGTGACCGTGAGTCATACCGACGATCATGCCGTGACCGTGAGTCATACCGACGATCATGCCGTGACCGCGAGTCATACCGACGATCGCGCCGTGACCGCGAGTCCTTTCGACCGCGAGTGTCAAGTTTCTATAGGTACCTGAAAAATTGTTACCCATTTTTTTGGTTGTTATAGATCAGTGCCACAAACGGTAAAGATTGATTTTGTATGCCTTTTTTGGTAACTGCAATACTCAAGACTTTCTTTTTATGCACAGAAAAAAATCCCGTCCCGTCCCGTCCCGAAAATCGGGAAGGAAATAAAAATCCCGTCCCGTCCCGTCCCGAACTAAAAATTCAATCCCGTCCATCCCTAGTTTTTCCCATTTTTGACCTTAAGATCATAAAATTTAACTACTTCTTTCCAAACCATTTTGTAGATCTTAAAGAAGCAAAGAATTTAGTATATTGAAGCGTTCAGTGTTGGGGAAGCTACTTTTAAAATGTAGCTAGCTACAACTACTGCTACATTTCCAAAAAAGTAGCTTAGCTACAGCTACAGCTACAGTTCCGAAAAAGTAGCTAGCTACAACTACAGCTACAATGGAATGTAGCTATAGCTACAATTTTAGCTACTTTTCCAAAGACGTTACTTTTTATTCCACGCACATTAGGTAAATGTAAAATTAATTGCAACTACATAAACCTAACATTACGACAACAGAACCAAAATAAGTTAGTTGGGTGTTCCATCATATTATTACTTATTTTGAAATATTGCATTATTTGTAAGCATCTTATATGTAAATTTCATTAAGTTCAAAGGACATACAACCAAACTATATTTTAAAATCTCATTTTATTTCTTTAATATAGATTCATTTATAGATGTCTTATATCAACAATTAAGACCAATAAAACTGTAAAACGATTATTTAAAAATACTTTTTTGTGTTACAGAGCCTAGCCTACTGAAATTGGAGTTTATTGCCTTTTTTAGCGAATTTCCCATATAGGGAATAAGCTATTACCGTAGGTCTCATGGTAAGACCTAGACCCGGGACCGATTTACTTTTTCGTTTTGAGGTCCCCAGAGGCCAAAAACACCATCCGTTCATATATATATATATATATATATTTATATATGTGTCCGTTAGCGCGATAACTCGAGCAAAATTGATCCGATTTTGATGAAATTTGGTACATACGTGTAAACCTACATTTATTCGAACGAGTTCGCGAACCAGCATAATCGGACCATGGGATCAGGGGTTTATGGGGGTTTTTATGGGGTAAAAATGGGGTTTTCTCATTTTTGACCCTAAAAACTTTAAATTTCTTAATTTCTCTCTAGACCATTTTGAAGAGCTTAAAAAAACAAATAATTTAGTATATTGAAGTTTTTTTGAATGTTCATTGACTACGGAGAAAATTAAAAAAATTGTAAATTTAAAATTCCCATGTTATTCTTATAGAGAATAAATAAACTGTTCTAGTTTGCTTGTTTATGGATATATTTTAATCAAATTTGGCAATTTGTCTTATTTCATACTAACCTATCAATATTTCAATTGAAAAAACACCTCAACATCTTCCCCGTAGCAGCAAACCTAACTACTCACTAAAATTAATGTTATTTAAATAGGAAATAAATCTGAAAATTTATAGGGAATATTTTAGTAGAAATCAAGCCGGGTAAATGGAAATTCGCTTAGTATGCAGGTTTGCTGCGACGGGGGTATTTACTTTTAATGTTAAACACGACATTGCTATAACTTTTAACCATAATGATAAGTAATTTTTGTTCTATGAATAACACTTTTCAATGTCAAGAAATCGTCCTTTATTGTCATTATGCATTGGGCCAATTGTGCTTCAACCTAGTTGGTACAGAAAACAGTATTCAGCAACCTATTCTGAAATCGGCTTTTGATTTAAACATGTTGAAATTTGTAAATTAAAAATAACATGTAGGCCTACTTGGCTATGTAACAAGCTGGCTATAGTAGGCTTGTTCTTTCAAGGACTAAACAGATATATTCCTAATAATTGAACTTGGAACTTGGTATTCGTCTTAAATCATAGCATAGCCTAGGAATAGTCCTATACAAGAGCTGTTAGCAGGAGTAAACTATGCTATTTTTTCAATCTAAGTTTCATGTTATATGGATATTTTTTCGTTACAATTATCATGTAGTCTAGGCATATCTTAAATCTCATCAGGTAATTTCCTCTTTGTTAATTTAGTAAGCCTTTGAAAAATCTTCGTAATCTAACCAAGGAAGGGCTTGTGATGATGAACCACAAATCAACAGCTGAAGCTAGACCAGCTTTCTCATTATTTTAAGGTTTAGTGTTGGTTTCCATTAAAACCCAAGTTGAAACACTATCAATATAACCATGAAACTAAATTGATAACTAATTTCCCTGTTAATCACTTGCAAGCATTCAATAGCTTCTCTTGTCACCGGTAACGTTTGAACGTCGTCTGCAACTAGCGATTTTATTTTATCTGACAGTAATCATAGAGTAGCAAATTAAGGAAATGAGAGCCAAAAATGTGGATAACACTAATTTAATAGCCTCCATGTCCACACAACGTTGTAATAGGGAATGAAACGGCTGCAACCAGCTGTATAAAGCCAAGAAAGTAGGCCTATTTTTTTTTAAATCTCAGTTTGAAAGAGGTTGTTTCACGTAAGGTTGAGGTTATGATAAAAATCACTATCTCAAACAGAGTTAATGTAGCGAGAAAAGTAGCTAAAATTCCGCTACAGCTACTTTAAAAATGTAGCTAGCTACAGCTAAAGCTACAAAATCTTAAAAGTAGCGTAGCTACAGCTAACGCTACAAAAAAGTAGCGTGCTACTGTAGCGTCGCTACTTGTAGCGCGCTACTTCCCAACACTGGAAGCGTTATTATGTGCCTAATGGCTATGGATAAAAATTTTAAAAAAATTGTAAATTAAAAATGTCCATGTTATTCTTATGGAGAATAAGTCAACTGTTGTAGTTTGCTTGTTTATATGCATATTTTGATCAAATTTGGAAAATGCATTTATTTCATACCAAACTATTACCATTAAAAAACACTTTTTTACCCTCCCTGTTGCGGCAAAGCTAAGTACTCTTTAAACTAATGCTCTTTAAATAGGGAATAAATGTGATGATTCTGTCCGGACAGTCCCGATTTTTCCCTTGGAGTGGCAACCCTGGGTTATGGGAACAGGTCTTCTGGTAATAATTGGTTTTCATAATTTTTGCCCATCAAAATATTGAATTTCCCAATTTGTTTCCAAAACAACCACAATTTCTTTAGTAGGTCTAAACATAAAGAAACAAATAATTTAGTATTTAAAGTGTTTTCCTACACAGTTATTTGTTCCTAAATAATAAAAAAAAATGTCTATGTTATTATTGGCAAATCTATTAATTTTATACTACTGTAAGCTATAAACAAACATGTTACTATAAAAATACACTTTATTACCCTACCTGTAGCAGAAAACCCAAGAACTTGTTAAAACCTTATGTTATGTAAATTGGAAGCAGCACTGAGAGGCTGAAGGGAAAATTTAAGTAAAAAATTTAATCAGGCAGATCAAAATTAATTTTGTCTGCAAGTTTGTCCGCAGGGGTATTTTTTACCAATATAATTGCTTATGAGTTAACCTAAAAAGGCTACTATGTAAGGAGTTTTGCTTCACATCACTGCCTTAATTGTGCATTTAAGTAGACTAACAGTGAAGACAATATTTCTTGCCTTATGCAAAGTTGTTTGGAATCAATTTTAAAGGTTATTATGAAAAGTTGTTTGGAAAAAACCTTATGGTTTTTTTTTATTTTCTTAAAAAATCAGCTAGTGCGATTAGTATTTAAATTTATGTTTAAACTAATAACTTAAACTTACAACTTTTTGACGGAATATTGGTTCTTTCAATTTTTCTTAAAATTGGAGGAACTCCTCCTCAGTCTTCAGAGGTAGACTTTCAATAGGGAAAAATCCCTCTAAGGTGTTCTGAGGGATAGAGCATTGCTCCCCTTGTCTGTCCAACGTCCTCTTAATGTCTTCCACCTTTTTAGTCAAATCCATCACTGCTTCCCACAGCATGCCAATATGTTTGCAGCTTTGGACATCCTTGCAAGCTGAAAAAAAAACATAAAGTTAAGCTAAAATATTACAAGCTTTATTTAGTTAATTAACACAATACAGGATTTATAAGCTTATTATACTGTTTTTTTTTTTGCTAATGTAGAATTACATGAATAATAGAATTTCCCTAATATGGATGACAATGCAATATTATATAATTTAATTTTCATATTTCTCTTGGGCTACGCCCCATGGGCTTGATTTCATTAGCTCGCTTTCCTAAAAATTTTGATGTCAATTTTAAACAAAATTCCCGATGAGCTAGAGACTTGAAATTTGAAACATAGCTCACAAATGGATGACAATTCAATATTATATCATTTAATTTTCATATTTCCCTTGGGCTACGCCCCCATCGGCTTCCAAATTTTCCTTGTTTACATTTTGAAAGAATGTAAATACTGTATATCAATTAATTTAAGTCAGCTGTAAATACTTAAATTTGACAGTTCGAAGAGCAGAGGTTGACAATGACGCAGCGTTATTGCTGCTCGTGTACAGCACTGAACTTTTAGTTCAGCGTCGGCGTTTTATCTGTCGCAATCTTGCTGTCCGTATAACATGGGCCTAAGTTAAGTAGCATATAGTATAGTTACCTATTATTCATTTGTAAATAAACAAACCGTCTAACAAAAACTGGACAGGTTCAAAAACCCTTAGCCAAAAAATAATCTCTTGATAATTTAACATTTAAGGAAGCATATAATTAGTTGCATTAAAATCTTAGTGTAGGCCTGGGAATTACCATTACTGTAGACATAGACATAGACATAGACTTTATTTGCACAAAACATTCCATACATGTCATAACATTAAGAATAGGTGCATTGTCAAAATTAAATCCATACATAAAATATTTAACATTAAAACTTTTAACTTAAAATTAAACACTTAAAAAAAATTTCTAAGTTGTAGTTCTGTAAAAATCTTCAATTAAGTAAAAAGCCTTGTCAATAAGAAAATTATCTATTGTATCTTTAAATTTGGTTTGCTTAATGACTAATGGTTAAATGCTTAATGGTTTAGCATGGCAGAAGCACATTGTACAATCTCAGCCCAGCATACAATGGAGATTTTACATATAGGGTCACACGGTGTCTGGGGAGTCTAAATATGTTTTCATTTTGGGTTTCATACCTGTGATTAAAATGTATTGTTTCTGGTAGCTAGTTTTTAACTGAATGTATGTAATTTAATAATTCTAGAATATACAACCCCGTTAATGTATGAATTCTTAAATTTTGAAAATGTTCATTTGTAAATAAACAAACCGTCTAACAAAAACTGGACAGGTTCAAAAACCCTTAGCCAAAAAATAATCTCTTGATAATTTAACATTTAAGGAAGCATATAATTAGCTGCATTAAAATCTTAGTGTAGGCCTGGGAATTACCATTACTGTAGACATAGACATAGACATAGACTTTATTTGCACAAAACATTCCATACATGTCATAACATTTAGAATAGTTGCATTGTCAAAATTAAATCCATACATAAAATATTTAACATAAAAACTTTTAACTTAAAATTAAACACTTAAAAAAAATTTCTAAGTTGTAGTTCTGTAAAAATCTTCAATTAAGTAAAAAGCCTTGTCAATAAGAAAATTATCTATTGTATCTTTAAATTTGGTTTGCTTAATGACTAATGGTTAAATGCTTAATGGTTAAGCATGGCGGAAGCACATTGTACAATCTCAGCCCAGCATACAATGGAGATTTTACATATAGGGTCAAACGGTGTCTGGGGAGTCTAAATATATTTTCATTTCGGGTTTCATACCTGTGATTAAAATGTATTGTTTCTGGTAGCTAATTTTTAACTGAATGTATGTAATTTAATAATTCTAGAATATACAACCCCGTTAATGTATGAATTCTTAAATTTTGAAAATGTTTCTTACAAGAACTGCGTGGATGAGAGTTGGTAATAATACAATAATACGTTTTTGTAACCTGAATAAAGTTTTAATACCAGTAGCTTGACCCCATAAAATTATGCCATATCTTAACACTGACTCCACATAAGTATGATAAAAGTGTCTCAATAGAAACACAGTCCCTTAAATGTATGAATAAAGATGATATCGACCTAATTTTGTTACGTAAATAATTCAAATCTGAATCCCATTTAACTGCGTCATCTACGTAAACCCCTAAGAATTTATGAGCTTCAACTAAATTAAAGGAACAGTTTTCCATATTTTTGTGTCTAGTAGAAAATTTAATAATATTTGTTTTTTCAACATTAAGTTTTAACCCATTTTCTAAAAACCATTGCTCCATGTCCCTTACCAAACTTTGCAGAGAAGAAAACATTTCAGCTGTATTATTATTTTTGATCAAAGCAGTAGTGTCATCGGCTAAAAGAATTAGTTCTTTATTAATAGCTTTTGGAAGATCATTAATGTAAATAAGAAAAAAAAGTGGGCCCAATACTGAGCCTTGGGGAACGCCTGTGGATATAATTTCCCATGGTGAATAATGTTTGTTGTTATCTTCTAAAATTAAAGTTCTTTGTTTTCTTTTAGAAAGGTAAGATTGTATTAAAGAAAAGCAACTTCCCCCAATCCCATAATCAATAAGTTTTAGCAACAGGAGTGAGTGACCCACACAATCAAAAGCCTTAGACAGGTCACAGAAAACACCTGCTGTGGTCTGAGACCTGTCCAAGGCCCTGCAATCTCATTAACAAACTGAGTAAGAGCAGAAACTGTGCTTAAGTTTTTTTCAGAAACCAAATTGTTTATTGTAAAATAAATTATTACTTTCAAAATAATTAACTAGTCTATAGCTTATTACTTTTTCAAATATTTTAGAAAAATTACTTAATACTGATACTGGACGGTAGTTATTAATATCTGATTTTGAACCTTTCTTGAAAACGGGAGAAATTTGGGAGTACTGTAAATTTTAAAAAAATCAAGCGTAACTTAAAACACAGAGGATACTCGTCCAGTAATCGGACGTGGATTAACTTAGGCGTCCGGCAGTGACGTCACAGGGTTGTGAGGGTCCGGAACGCCATTACCACAACGATACGATGTACAACCATCGGTGTTTGTGGTGTAGTGGATATTGCTAGGCTGAGTAATGCAAGAGGTCCCTGGTTCGAATCACATCGGTAACTTTAACTTTTTGTCAAAGATTTTGCTTTGAATGCCATTAACTGTACATCTTTTGTTAGAATTTTTGACATTTATAATTTTATTTTATGAACATAATTTAACCTTCATTCAGGTAAATTATTTTTCATTATCAGCAAGTTTGGTTGGTTAGGTTAGGTTATGACAGTAACTGCTGGACGCCTAATCTACGTCCAGTTACCGGACGCGTATCCTCTGTGAATTTTAAAAACCCTGTAACTTAGGCCTCATAATGTGCTATTTAATGGGAGTAACTTAAGTTAGTTAATAAAGTAGGCCTACTTGATAAAATCTTGGCTGCACTTTAGTTTCTGTCCTACATTTAAGTTACTCACATAGGTAACTTAAGTTACCTAGTACTTACTGCATGTTTGGTTAAGGCTAAGTTAAGTTTAGAACATTTTCATCAGCTGGTAGCACAAAAAGGCCTACCTATTTGTGTAGTACCTAAATAGGTACTAGAAAAAATCCTTATATATAATACGTGAAGGCGATTTTTACAAAACACTACTCCTCCGTTAATAATGGACGGATTTTTACAAATGACGTGTCAAAATAAAGTAATTTTTGTGTAGACGCCCCCTTTCACCAATTCCTGTAATAAAAATCCTCGGGCTTTGCCCCACAGGCCATCAAAGTTGGAGTTTTTCCCATAAGATTAACATGGGGGAATCTAAATATTTAATTGGAAACTTTGTCCCCACTAATTTGAGAGAACGGCTGGGCGTAGAAACTTGGTAGAGGTGTCCAAAGAAAGGTCTTGGTCTGTAGATGAGTTATCAAAAGAAAAACTAATCAAAATCCCTTAGGACTCTGCCTCAGAAGCCTTTAAAGATCCCTCCACAGAGTTGTTTACATTTTGGCCATGTGAATAATATATTAATGAAACAGCTGTTCATTTTTAAATTGTATTTCAAACCACACAAGTTACTGAATTCTACCAAATAAGTTTTTGCAATGTTATTTTCTGATTTTAAAATTGATTTTATTCTTTATCATGTCATGTTTTGCAATATAACATTCCATTACGAAATCAGTGGAAAATCCTTTTATCACAGCAATTCTTAAATTATTTCTTATTGAACTATCTTATATCTATTGTACGGGTTGGTGCCTGCCTTTTTCACCACTTTTTCCTACATTTTATCATATTATTGTACACATATAAAATATTTATGTAGAGATATCTGCTCTTATCATGTCTAATAAAATCTAAACATAGAAACTTTGTCTAAAATGGTACCCATCTTGACAAATTATTTGCACCTGCCTATATTACGGACTTTGGCGCACTGGTTTGGTAACATTATTGAAAATAACACGACATTTTGGCTGTAAAAGATGGTACAAAGAGAAAATACTATTTAAGCAGCTACTGTCATGACAGAAAGGTCATATTCCTTTTAAACTGTAGATCACATAATCCTTTATAAGATACGTTGATTAATAATATGTAAACGTCAATATATAAGTAACAACAGTATTTTTGCTTTTTGGAAATGTCCCATTGCTATATCATTTGTATTATTTGTTGCCTATGAAGCCGCACGAGCATATAAACGAGGAGGCCCCTAACAGTACAAGAATAAAAGCCAACTGCACTTCAAGTATTCCACTACACCTAACATTCTGTGGAGAGATTATATTGACAACTTTATGTTATTGATAAGGCTGAGACAACTGACATCACCCATGTCAAGGAATTCCAGCTTTAACAGTAACCCCACAATCAATAATTTCTCAAAACTATGCTAGAGGGTTCATTCTGGCACAGAAGTAGCCTACCTACTGTAGTATATGAACTGACGCGACGTGACGTAGGAAAAATCAAACTTTTACGCTGTA